TTTGGCCATTTGAATATCGATTTGGCCATATTTTTTTAAAATATGTGATTTAGCCCTTTGAAGCAGCACTTAACACCTTGACCCACACCTTGCATTTGATAACCAAGTTACTTAGTAAATGAGGTGCTCTCTCTTACTACCTTGACTCACAACCCTTTTGAGTAAATGAGGTGCTCTCTCTTACTACCTTGACTCATAACCCATCGGAAAATTGGGAACATCATGCTATAAGAAAATATGCTTTCAAACCCAATTCTAACCCGTATTAAAGGTTTTTTGGACATTAAAACAACTGTTTTCAACACCAACATTAAAACACTATAGACATATTGTTGCATCATATATAATTTAATTTTTATTTTATTATTGTCTTTTATGGCCCATCAAGAAGTAGATATAAATCTTTATTGCAAATAATTTTTAAAAATGAAATTTTGTTTGCACTTTATTTATTTGTTTATTTCTTGTGTGTTTACTTGCATGCTTAATTACCTTTAGTTGCATGATGCAAAGAGGGATGGATCAATTTGTAACGCTTTATTTTNTTTTGGGGTCATCGAAAATGCAAAGAGCGCCTTGCTTGGGTAAAATATTGAGACAAAAATGTATCAAATAAATATTTGCTTTAATGAACTTTTATGTTCAGGAAAATTTACAAGAAAATAATAAGATGAGGAGGGGAGATGCGACGTGGCAATATGGTACAAAAGTGAACGATAAAGGAAGAGTTCGATGGAATTTTTGTAACAAGGAAATGGGTACCATGATCTCCTTCGCCACTCTCATTACTACTAGCCATTGTTAGTTGGATTCCGTAACTTCATTAATTGAATTAATGTCAAATTATAAATTGTCTTGCATATCTCCATAATATTCAAATATTAATTTATATAAAAAGTTGTTTCAAATTTTTTTTGTAAGATAAAGATATGTAATATGATAGTATACATTTAATCTAAGTTTTTCTATTTTTTTATTTTTTTAGAAGTTTTTAACCTATTTTTTTTAAAAAAAATCTACTTATCCGGTTAGTCCAGTTAACCGCCCCGATTAATCCGATTCCGATTTAAACAACTCCCAATCCCTTGACCGATTAACCGTCTCAATTTGATTTTACGAACACTGGACAAGAGCACAATTAAGAGCCCCATGCAAACGTAAGTCCAACTATTAGCATCATGGGCCTGCATCACCTCCTCCAACTCCCACCCATTGGTGTAAAACTCATGCAGCGAATATTATTTAAAACAAAAAAAACTCAAACCCGTGCAGCGAATAAGATAAGGGTATTAATGACCCGAACACGCGCGTTTAAAACAGCAACGCTGGCGGGAGGCCATGGCGTTAGTACAGGCAACGCTCAAGTTGCCAGCGGCAGCGACGAGACATACCCCCGCAAGAAGCTAAGATCTCGTCTCCGGCAAAGATACCGACCACCCGAGAAAATGAGGGGAAGAGAAGCTTTTCTGACACCCCGCATGGGTTCCGACCAGCCAAAGAGGGAAAGGGAGGAGTCAACCCCAACGTTAATGCTTTGTCTCCAGCTACCCCGCGTGAAAGTTTGAGGAGAGAGAAAATGGTGAAAAGAGGAGAGAGAAAGAGAGCGCCATGAGAGAAGGTGAGAAAATTTTCATAGTTTTAAAACGTCAATACCCACAAGTTGAACATTGGGGCGGCCCATGAAAGCTTGATTAAAAAAATAAAAAATAAAAAATGAAACAAAATAAAAAAAAAAAGAAAAAAGAAGAGAGGTCCACAAAAGGACCACATAAGACATACTTGGCCTGCAGAGTTCGCGCTGGCAATGCTGACGTTGCCAACAGCGGATCGGTTCCGTCCCACTTCCGACGGACAGCAAATTTTGAGGACTGCCTCACATTGGCCTAAAAATTCTGATGTGCTTTAGAAATACAATATGTATTACCTTAAGGTACACGAACCAAGGCAACGGGCAAACTTCCAGCGCGGGTCTGGTCGCCTTCATGAACGCTTGGAGCCCATGCAAAACCATTTTTTTGGCACCAACCTCCGCACCAATAACGTATCAAAAACTCCACTATTCTTAAACCCCCAAAACCAGTCCATGAGGCCCAAGAAAGGACCAAACCTTGAGCAAAATTCGAAAATGCCATTTTTAAATGGTTGACACTGGCAACGCTCACGTTGGTGATGGCAGCTCTGGGCACAAAACCTTTCCAACAACCCTTGAATTTCACAGGGGCCTCTCAAATAGCTCCCCAAGGACATCCATACCCAAGGCATGTCCGATGACATATTTCCTTAAGGCCATTTGGACAAACAAGACCACAGTGCCGCTGGCAATCAACGAACCCAATCGACACATGACCATTGGAATGGTATTTCCATTAATGAAATAAGAAGTTTTGAACACGCCTAAGTGAATTATCAATAGCGTTGGCACTATAGGCGTGATTTTGAAATGAATGATGTGGCAGAGTTGCTAGTGCCAACTCTAGAGTTGCCACTGGTGGCGCAAGGAATTAACAGCCTAGATTGACCCCAAATTTTATGACACTATTTGAAGATTGGTTTTCTATAAATAGGGGCTCTTGGTTCCGAATTTGGGAACTTTTGAGACTTCGAACCCTAGCCAAAACTCTGTCCCACTCAGGACTCGAATCTCTAAACCTTGAGACCTAGGCCTAATCCTTAATCTCAGCATCCTAAAACCAAATTTTGACACCATCACAGACCAATCCATCTGATACAAGTATCTTCTACCCCACGGACTCCAAAAGACTGGAAAAAGTCAGCGCAACAAGCACGATTCTGAACCGGCCACCGACTCTGAGCGTCGGGGCTTAGGGCCCGCCTTAAGGTTAGCTTTTGTTCTCTTTCTCATTTATTTTTTAGAATTTATTTCAAACCCTTTTTCCAAATCTCCCCCTCTCTTATCGGAAAACTCTCTTTTCAATACATCTAGCACATTCTCAGTTTCTTCGAGCCTCATGCTGGTATTATCGGCAATCCGTACGAGAGCAGTCCGATGACCGAATCCTTGCCCAAGTTACAATTCGATGGGACCCTTATCCTTTATCTTTTCTATTGACAAGTTTGCACACGAAAATGAGGTGGAGGGTGTATTTCCTCTACCCAAATTTTCATGTATAAGCACAATGTTGTAGCCAACGAGATCGAAGGTAAATCGTGCATCATAGTCTTATGGAATCCTTGCACTTTTTCGAAAGATGTTTTGGATGTTAGTGAACAGATCATTTTTGTGAAAGTTACACACCTATGTAATGGTCTCACCTGAATTGTTTCAAGGCTTTATGGCCTCAACTTAGTGGGGTAGAGAGCTTCACTTTTAAAATGAGGGACATCTATGCTACCACTACTAGGGGCTAGCTTCTGTTGGGGTATTTCAACACTATTTTGGATTCTTCATCAAAGTTGGGGGACTGGGACTCCCTACCTTAGGATTCAGGGGACTTCGCTAACACTCTTGTTGATTATGCTTTAACAGATTTTGGATCTACTAGGGTTGGTTCTCCTGGTCAAATAGTCTGATTAGAAGATGATGTATACGTAAGCAGCTTAATCATACATTGGCTACTATGGCGTGGGTTTTCTCTTATCCATACTCTTAAGGTTGAACCGTTGCCAAAAGGTAATTCTGATCACTCCTCTTTATTAGTTTCTCTATTTAATTTAGCTCATACTGGTCCAAAACCCTTCAAATATCTTACCACATGGTAAAAGGCCCTAGGTTTCAAGGATTTTTATTCTTAATTCTAGGAACGGAAGGATTGGGGACCCCCCAGTGTATAGGTTTGTCTCAAAACTTAGAAGACTAAGGAAAGATTTGTGTTTGGAATAAAGAATCCTTTGGAATAGTTGGTGTTTAAATTTCTAATATCTGTCAACAATTACCTATTCTTCATGATGATTTGAGCCAGGATCCATCTAATGGGTAGCTTATGGTAAATGAGATTTACAAATGACATACAAAAACTTCTATCCCATGAGGAGAGTATCTGGAGGCAGAAATCTAGACAGACATGGCTGCGTGATGGTGATTCCATTACCAGTTTTTCCATTTATCCACCATTGTCAAGAGGATGACTGACATAATAACTTTTCTTAAAGATCAACATGAGATTCCTATTATTTCATAAGATGGAATTAGTAAATATGGTAGATTTCTTTGAGGACTTGATTGCTTAGGAGAGTGAGGTTGATCTTCATTTGGTGGACCAATTTCTTCCTTTTACTCGTCTAACTCCACAGCAACAAGAAAAGCTCATTGCAGATGTTACTTTGAAAGAAATCAAAACATCTCTGGAATATGAGAAATGAGAGTGGCCCGAGCCCAAATGTTTTTAATGTGGAATTTTAAAAATTCAGCTGGGAGGTCATAAAAAAAAAGATCTATTTGTAGACTTACAAGATTTATTCGAAAGGGGTAAATTTCTGAAACATATAAATTCAGCCTTTATTGTCTCATCCTTAAGGTAAACTCTCCTACTATTATGAAAGATTTTCACCTTATTGATCTTTGCAATGTTCTTTATAAACTTATAAGAAAAGTTATCTCCAACTAATTGTGGGAAGTATTAGGGGAATAGATTGACCTTAGGCAAGTAGCTTTTTTAAAAGGGAGAAAGATAATGGATAATATCATTATGGCCAATGAACTTATTTCTCTTTGTTATGGATACTCTAAAAATCCAAATCTATGCCTGCAAGTCAATTAACGTAGTGCATATGATCAAGTTCCTTAGGATTTTCTTCTTTCCAAAATGCAAGCTTTGGGATTTTCAGACATTTTTCTCTCTTGGATTCGGAATTTACCTCTCCCTCCATTTTAGTTCTTCATCATGGATTCCCAAAAGGTTATTCCAAAGGGAAGCGAGGTTTACACTAGCATGACCCTTTATCTCCTTATTTGTTTTAATTGGTTATGGGCTTTTTAGTAAACAGTTGGACTTCTCTATAAGGCAAGTATGCTCCCAATGGCTTTTCCTTCTAGTTGTGACTTTGGTATATCCCATCTCTTCTATGCAGATGATGCAATAACTTTTTGTGCAACATCGTCTAGATTGGCTCCTGTAATTAAGTGCATTCTTTTATACTGGGGCAAAAACTCAATGTGGCAAAAAACAAGGTGGGGCATCACCAGGTTCTAAGCATCTGATTCTTAGGGATCTGAAGTTCGGTGAAGGATCTCTTCTGATACGTTATTTGGGGTTGCCTCTATTTCATGGTGGCTTGAAGCATCGCTAATGTCATTCCCTGGTGGGTAAAATCATTAGTAAGATTGAGACTTGGCAGGCAATATCCTTATCTTATGCAGGTCATCCTCAGTTATTGAATTCTGATCTCAGCTCTTTGACAATATTTTGGCTTTTAGCTTTTATTCTTCTTAAGCACACATGTCAATTTCCTCTAGGTAGGTACTACTGAAAAAAGGGTTTCACTTGGTGAAATGGAAGGCAGTATTTCAACCCATGAAAGCGGGTGGATTAAGCATTCGCAATATAGCAAACTTCAATATTGTTGTATTATGAAATTGGTTTGGAAATTGGTTGCAAATCTTACATCTCTTATTTCTTGTTTTTTCAAGTACAGACATTTTAAAAGTTCATCTACATGGGATTCAAAATACAAAAATTTCTCTTATGCATGGAAGGAGATTCAAATGGGATTACCTTATCTTTGACATAATGTCAGGTGGATTATTGTGGACAGTCGAACAGTGGATTTCTAGGCAGATCCTTGGTTATCAAAGAAGACTATTTTGGGGTCTTATGGTGCACATGTTCATAAAGATCTTGAAATTTTTGACAAACTTAAGGTAGTTGATTATTTGCAAGGTTCCCCTCGGACATGGTTGCTACTTTCTCCTACTTCTGGATTAGAATTTTTAAAGGAGATTGAAGCTTTTGTAATTGAGTTACAACTATCATGTGATTTTCTGGTGTGGATCCATTCGTCTAATAGATTATTCTCTATTAAAGAGGCATGGAACTTTAATTCGAAATAGATGCCACATTCAACCAATTTTCAAAGCTTTGTGTTTGAAGATAATTTTCAACACCTTAAGTCCCCGATGCGAAATAAAAGAGAAACTGGTCAATAAAGCCTTGACATACAGTGGAATTCTCGACAGTCTTAGAATTATACCAGAACACACCAGAACGAGTTAGGATCTTCTTAAGCACTCCAAAAGGCCACCTGCCAAGTTTTGTCGTGATCTAACATGTCTAAGGCAGTGTAGACAAAGAAACAATTTCAGAAAAAAATCAGTCTCTAGCACCCTGAAATAGACCCTGTAACTAGAACTAAATTTTTGGTGTGTCAAACAACTATGGGACAACCTTCATTGGATCTGGCACGATCGAAAACCCCTAAGGGTCAAGTTTCAGCTTAAACAGACATCCCAAGACAAAGTTATGGGTGAAACATTAAAAAGGGATAGGCCGCACGTTATTCCCATGAGGCCCCCCTGCACCAATCTCCATTAAAGGAGACTGGTTTGCATAGTCATGAGCAATAGCTTCGAAGGCTCTTATCTCACTTGTCTCGAGTCGGATCGCGCTCAAATTTTGTAAGTGTGTTCGTCTCGTCAAGACGAGCGTTTGGATTTGGGCACGCCCCGTAACGATACCCGAGCAGGGAGAAAAAGTAAGGAGAAGTAGGCAATTCGTGAAGACAGTTGCAGAAAATTCATTAGCAATAAGTCTCGCTCGAGCGGCCATATCACGGTGCTCTCATACCTGAACGACGCGAAGCCAATTGCATTTTGTAAGGTCCGAGGCTATGTTTGGTCTGAACCCCGTGTATGATGAATGGTTGGATTCGACACACAAAAGCGTGAAAAGTTACTGTAGATTTTGGCTGCCGAATTTCAATATCCGACCAAAACCCAAGACGACAAAATCTTCGTCCAGGCACAAAATCGAGCTGTGTTTGTTGCAACGTGATCATGACGACATGTCAATGCAATTCAGCAAAGAAACCAAAGAAAAAATCAAGAAACAAGAACACTATCGATCGGAAGTTTTCAAGATCTATACATATTTCGAGTCAAATGATCATGGGCTAAAAAAGTGATCCGTGGTTCGAAGTTGATATCAAATCGATTGTCATGTCGAGCCCGATAAGAAAGCAATCATCTTTCGGCTAGACGGACGCCGGAGCAACCCCGAATCATCCATGGAAGATCACGCATGTTCTAGGGCAGTAGCAAGGAGTGTTTTGGAATTTCATGTATTTTTTGGCAGAGGCAAAACATTCCTTTTGCACCCATTTTTAGATTTTTTTTTAATTCAAATAAATTGTAATTATCGTCAATTAGGCTAGATTTTGAGCATCCACCCATGTTTGGGCCCAACTCTATAAATACATACTAAACCTAATTGTAAAAAGATCCCTCGGTTTTTCATCTTATGAATAAAATTTGAGAGTTTCACATTGAAATTGTGGGCACGTCTTGGAGAGAGAGAGCGGAGAGAGAAGAAAAAGTTTGATACCCTTTGGTTAAGGTAACTTTCTCTCTCCTCCTCTCATCTCTATCTTTCTCTCTTCTCTTCTTATCTATCGTACTCCTCTTATCATCTCTCTCTTTCTCTCTCCTCTTTTCTCTCTCTCTCTCCTCTTCTCGTTTATCTCTTTCTCTTTCCTCTCTCTTTCCTGATCTTCTTTTTTCACTTTCCTTCTCTCTTTTCTATCTTTCCTTTCTCTTTCTTCGCCTAATCTCTCTTCCTTCTTTCTCTCTGTTCTCTTCATTTTTTTCTCTTCTCCATTCATGCACGGCGGAGCCTATCACCAGGTATGATGTCCCCCTACTCCTGGAACATAAGCAGTGAGTCGGGCTTTAACCCGAGTGGTGGGCCGGGCCTCTGTCCAAGTTCCCTTGCCTCTTTTCCTCTGTCATGGACAGCGGAACCTCATCGCCGTCCATGTTTTCATTTCCTTTCTCTCTCCTTTATCATGGTCGGCAGAACCCCATCGTCGTCCATGTATTCTCTCTCTTGCCTATTCTCTTATGTCATGGGCGGCGGAACCCTATCGTCGTCCATGTCTTCTATCTCTTGTCTCGTCTCATATGTCTTGGATGGCAAAACCTCATAGCCATCCATATTTTCTTTTCATCTCTCTCTTTAGTCATGGGCAGCAGAACCCATTTTCCATTCTCTCTCCTCTGTCATGGGTTCCACCGTCCATGTTTTCTTTTCTCTTCTCTCCTCTGTTATGGGTTCTGCCGTCCATGTTTTCTTTTCGCTTCTCTCCTCTGTCATGGACGGCGGAACCTTATCGTTGTCCATGTTTTCTTTTCCCTTCTCTCCTCTGTCATGGATGGTGGAACCTCATCACCGACCATGTCTTCTCTCTCATGTTTTCTCTCTCCCCTGTCATGGACGGTAGAGCCCAATCGTCGTCCATGTTTTCTCTCTCTCCTGTCATAGATGGCGGAACCTCATCGTCGTCCATGTTCCCTTCCCTTTCTCCCTCTTCTGTCAGGGACGGTGGAACCTCATCGACATCCATGTTTCTCTTTTCCTTTCTTACTTCTTTATTCTCTATTCTCTCTCTTCTACCCTATCTTACTTCTTTCTTCTCTCTTCCTTCTCTCTCTTCTCCCCTCTCTTCCTTCTTCATTCTCTTCTTCCTCTCTTTGCTTCTCTCATCTATTCCTTTCCTTTTCTTCTTTTTCCTCCTCTCTTTTATTCCCTTCTTTTCACCTCTCTCTCTTCTCTCTTCTTCCTCTTTCGTTTGACCAAGGAAGGTTAAGATAAGCACTGTCATGGTAGTCCCGACGTCGAGCAGTATTGCCACCAAGCCAGTCAGAGTTATCGTGCCCGTCTTGCTGCCACGATAGGCTGGCCATCATGTCAAGACTGGTCGGTGATCGTTCTGTCGTCGAATTGTATTGTCGTCGTGCCAGTCTGAGTTACCGTGCCCGTCTTATTACCGCATCGGGTCAATCACTTATTGGTCTAGCTACTGTGTTGGTCTAGCTACTGTGTTACTCTAGCCACTTGGTCAAAATCATCTCTTCCCCATTCCTCTATCCTATCTCTTTCTTCTCCTTCCATCTATCCTCTTACCCTTTTCTTCTTCTTTTGAATGTGCATTCGCCCAAAGACATGGTGGGGTCCCTTAGCCCACTTGTCTTGTAAATTAACTGTGTGTGTGATTGGAAAAACAGGAGAGTATAGGCCCAGGGAGGCGATTTCGAACTAGTTGTAGGACTGTGGGGCTTTTCTTCATGATCTAAGAGGGCGCTCACGAGAGTCAGCCCGAGTGAGTCACGGACTCAGGTGAGGTGTATCCCGCCTCACATTAAAATTCCTCTCTTATAGGTTGGTATACATGCCCTTGTTTCCTAACAAGGTTCCCGAGAGAGCGGTCTCAAGTCCCGAGTTCCCTTGAAACCCGAGACATGGGCTACCAGGTCATCCCGACCCAGAGGGCAAGATCGAGGCACCTAACCACTTTGTGGTCTTCGAAGTGCCACCCGAAGGCCAAATGATTTTCTTTGCTAGCTACTCATCATCGACTTCCCACCTTCTCTCTTTTACAATAAAAAAAGGATATGTACAGATTCTGTGTGCTCCTTTTGCCACTCTAATTATGATAATATTTATCATTTGCTTTTTCATTGTGTTTTCTCACAGGGTATTTGGAGATATGTTGCATGGAGGTGTGGTAAAAGGCTTATTTTAGACACATCTATTTCAAACATGCTTAGGACCTGGATTGCCTTCAGATTCAAGTCAAGAGGGTCTTTTGAATGTCTGGCTTTCACTTTTCTTTTCTACAGTCTGGATACTATGGGAGGAATGAAATCATTGAGTTTTTCAAGGGAAGGTATTCAGACGAGAGCGCTTGCTCAGGAGAATTACCTCTCATGTTAATCATTGGCAGACGCTAAAGCCTGATCCTTTCACTTATCAGAGAGAGAAATTGTTGATAACCTCCATTTCAAACTGAATGATGATGGTGCTTCACTTCAAACCCTGGGCTTGCAGGTAATGGAGGCGTAACTAGAAGTGATGACTTATCTTTCATCGCAACATTTAGCAATCCCATTGGTATAACATCAAATAACTATGCAGAGTTTCTAGGTTTGCAAATTGGCATTGACCTGGCCACTTGGCTTAATTGTTTCCCCCAGCAAATTGAGAGCAACCCCTTATTGTTAGGTAATGCAATCCATAATTGATGGAAAGCTCCATGGGCACTAAGTGTTGTTGCTGCTAACTTTATATATAAGCTCAATGGTCGTGCTTGGTCCCTTGCCCACATTTATCATGGAGCTAACTTGTGGTTGTTTATTTGCCAAGAAAGCCACA